GAGATGGAGTGGGGGGTAATAGGCACCTATATAAGACAAAATCCTGAATATTGGGACTGTCCCTATAAAATCAGAACATCTGGTCACCCTAGCACTACTCTGTGTGTGTGTGTGTGTTCTTACAAACTATCTATCTATATCTATATCTATATATATATATATATATATATATATCACTTAATTTTGAATTGGCAGTCAATCCAATAGGGAATATTATACATTTCTAATCCCCAACCATTTATAAAAATAAACTAATTTAAAATATTGCATGCAACAAACAAAACTAGATATCTAAAGTGTATACTTATATATAAAAACATTCTTGGTCTGATTCTGATCTCACTTACTCTGGATTTTTATTGGTGTAACCAAACTGATTTAACTGAGGTTTCTCCTGATTTACACCAGTATAAGTGAGAGATGAATCAGGTCCAAACTCTTCAAAAGGGAATCTGCTGTCAACTGAAATATTCTTAGCTGGCCTAGCAGCAGCTTTGTGGGATGGATGGAAACAGGAGACCTAGGGTGACATCTTGGCTCCACTGACTCACGAGGGTCAAATTTGACATTAGTTTCAAGAGCTGACTCAGAATTCTTAAAATTCGGGTTGGTGAAGTCAGGATGTTGAAAGAAGCTGGCTGGGTTCTGAAAGAAGGTTGAAACTCAGTGTGGGCAACTCTCATGATTTCATGAACCTTGCAATACCTGGTGTTTTTCTTAAAGCTTTAGCTCCTGAAGTGAAGTGTGAGAATCCCAGTTTAATTATTTTTTTTAAGTAAGTTTCTAGTCCTCATGGTTGCAAAGTTTGAAAACGTGAATCCTAAAGACTCAAAAACCAGAAGGAAAATAAAAAGAACTTATGATTTTTTAAATCTCATGATTTTGGGGGCCTGACTCATGATTTTTGAACGGCTATGTGGCACCCTCAGCTGTTTTATAGAATGGCAAAAACTGTCCCAGTGAGAACCACACATCCTTCCTTCCCATTTAGCAGTAAAATTCAACACAGAATGGCATTAGTGCCATTTTACCCAGAGACAATATTAAAACACCCTTAGAATTCAGCAAGGTGTGTCTTTCAAAAATATATATTTCAATTCCTTTATACATTTTCTAAGACCCACCGTGGATCAGTGTTTAATCTGTGTTCTCTATGAAACATTATCTATGCATTGGCCTCAGACCAACTTTTAACTTTGTATCCAACACTTTTTTTGGTGCTTAAAAAATGAACCAAATCAGCAGCAAAGATTCACACTTCCTTTGCTTCTTGAAATCAGTTTGGAGATATACCTATCTCATAGAGCTGGAAGGGACCCTGAAAGGTCATCGAGTCCAGCCCTCTGCCTTCACTAGCAGGACCAAGTACTGATTTTGCCCCAGATCCCTAGGTGACCCCCTCAAGGATTGAACTCACAACCCTGGGTTTAGCAGGCCAATGCTCAAACCACTGATCATGACATAAATCATGACATAAATACATCAGCTCAAATTCTTTTGGTCACACCGTTGCAGCCCCATTGATAAAAAGGAATGGATACAAGGATGAAAGTTGCTCTAATGCTAATGCACAGATAGTGTACAATACAACACCTAGACAAAATGTTGATTTGGGGTGCCTTTGCAAAAGAATAAAGGAATAGGAAAATACTGTTTGTGGCAATACGTGTTACTAAACTCTAAGGATATTTTTATGTTGTATTTGGCATTAGTGCTATTTTACCATTTTAGCGGACGTTGCTGCATCTTACGTCTACATGCCAAGCAGGGACGCATGTCTCTCAGGGGCAGACTGTGGCTGTTTCTGTGCAGATTCATAGAGTTAGTGAGAACGAGTACAAGCAGTTCTCCCATTCCTAATGCCCGTTCATGGGGCAGCCACAATCAGAGTGGGGAGAGTAAACACTGCATTAAGGCAATGTCTACATTACAGGCACTACAGTGAGCACAGCGGCAGCAGTGTCATAGTATAGACACTTGATACAGTGACAGAAGGGATTGTTCCATAACTGTAATAAATCCATCCCCTCAAGAGGTGTTAGCTAGGTTGACGGAAGAATTCTTCCATTTACCTAGCTGCATCTACAGTAGGGGTTAGGTCAACCCAGCTACATTGCACAGGGCACAAACATTTTCATTGCCATGAGCAATGTAGCTATGTTGACCTAAGGTTTAGATGTAGACCAGGCCTAAGACAGTGCTAGACTTACCAAAGGGGAAAGGGAAAGTGAAGTGAAAGTGTGGCCATGGATCATTCTTTTCCCCACAGGCCAGCAGAGCACAGCAAACTCGCACTGAGGGTTGTACACTGAACTTGTTCAAAGGGGGGTTGAGTTCCCACCCTGCTAGAGCTTCGGAGGTGGTCCTGCTCTGTACAGCTCATTCGTACCCCCTTCCAACACAACCAGTGGAATCTGTCTCAGCATTTTATTAGTGTGATACTAATGGTTGAGTCATTATTTCCACTGTGAATCCTGTTTTCCAGGGTTTATAATTCTTATAAAAATGTGCTTCACTATGAAACTTGGCATATACAAGGTCTCTGCCCAGGAGCAAATTCTGATTTATACAAAATTTTGCTGACATCACTCCATCTCGATTTTTCACCCTTGCTATCTGGTCACCCTAAGGGGTGGGAGGTGGGGGGAAGTTTCAGCATTTCAGTCCCTTTCAGCATTCCTGTAGTTTAAAAAAGGAAGTGAAAGGCTAAGTCACTGGAGTTTGAAATGGGGCTAGTACTTTTCAAAAGGATTTTTACTATAAAGATGTATTTCCAGCACATGTTGTGCTGTATTGGCTTCTTTAGATAATATAGTAGGCTGAAAATCTATGTTTAAATCAATACATATTTGTAGCATCCATCATAGTAAATGCTGTAAATGCACATTGGGCCACATTCTATCCTGACAGAACTCCAAAAAAGTATGATCTCACTTGTACTAGTCTAAATCAAGAGTAACTCTACTGATGCCAATGGAATTAAACTGACATAAATGAGATCACAATCATGCCTGAGGAGTATAGTCAAGTCAGAATGTGGTCAACTGACTTACATGTGGGGTTTCGACTAAATAGGAACTACAGAACCTGGTCCCAGATCTACAGACTTGGATTTGGTGAGCCTGATTGACTTTTCATTTATACTTCAACTTTCACTGTCAGCTGTCAGTAATGAATCTGCATATTTTGAAGAAGATATAAAGTGGATAAACAAACTGTTAAAGAACACTTTGGATCTCATGTTCTAGCATATCAATCTGCTTATGTGAGAGGCAAGGTGGGTGAGGGAATATCTTTTATTGGACCAACTTCTTTTTGTTGGTGAAAGAGAGAAGCCCAGACCTGAAGAAGAGCTCTGTGTAAATTCAAAAGCTTGTCTCTCTCATCAACAGAAGGTGGTCCAATAAAAGATATTACCTCACCTACCTTGTCTCTCCAATATCCTGGGACCAACATGGCCACAACAACACTGTGTATTAATATTTTCCTTAAATAAACATATGCAAAAAAACCTGTTTGTATAATGCTTTAGGTTGGATATAAAGTAGAAGAAGCAAGGAATCTCAAAGGCGATGCTGACAATCCATTCTTAAATTCACTTTGATAACCCACATATTGCATATATCTTGCTAAATTATATGGTTTGTATGTGGTGCAATGGTGTGAGTTAAGAACAGACTGTCCAAATTAACTGTGAATGCCTTACTTTTTGCTAGAGTACACCAGTTAGTTACATGGCAGTAAGCTTTTATGAGCAGTATGGTATATGTACATAAGGTATTTATTTAGAGGTACATTTCTTTATAGTGACTCTTATGCAGATATACAGCTCACTTACGCTTAAAGTTTTTCTTTAAAAACGGAAGCAAAATCTATGGTGTTTAAGCATACTGAAGACTCTTTTTTGTAAGATCTAGGCACATGCCTTTTCAGTATGTAAAGAGCCTATAGCTTTGTAAGTATTTGCAAGTACAGTGTAGATACCAGCTGGGATATCATAATTAAGAGATCCTTTTGAACAGAAAGGATAGTGTTAGTTAAGTTCTAGCAGAGATATGAAAGATGGAATAAGTTTTCATCCATGATGTATCCATAGTAGGCTTCAGAAACATTAAAATACTGTAGTTCTCTCAGTAGCTGGCAATGGCAATCCAAAAAAGCATATAATATTTGTATACTATTAACCAGTTAATACCATGATTATATTAAGCATCTCTCAGTATTTTACTCCTTGCACAGGATCCTGCTTAATGAAAAGTCAGCGTTAAGAAAAGGCAAATTATTAAACATTTTACATAATACAAGTCACAGTACTTACAATACAGTAAACAAAGTATGTTGATTTTGATATGTACTGATAGGATAACTGAACAGGCAGCCATGCATATTCCTTGTAATCATACATGGTTGAAATATTTATTACAAATATTACTTCTGAATTTTTAATTTGCTTTTTGCCCCACTAATGTTTTGCAAAGCTACACAGAAATATATAAACAATGTTCAATATATTTCAGTTATTCATCAATACAAATCTGCTGAAAAATTTACCTAATATATTTAGGAAGTAATATTTTTCATATATGGTAGTAATAATCTTTGTATTTTTAAGAATATGATTTTTTTCAAATGAAAAAATATTGACTGGAGTTTTTAATAGTTTCAGAGACATATGGATTGATTCATAATAAAAGAGAGTTGCTACTTATTTAAGAATGGCAATGCTATGTTTCAGTACTGCTGCCTATAATCACTAGAAATATATCCTCTTCAGTATGTGAGGAGATATCCTCTACAGAGTGGTCAGATAAATCAGTTCACCCTTGGCTGTAACAAAATGCTGTCTAGTGACTTGTGACAGACAGGGCTTTAACCTCTGACAGCTAGATTCATTGTTGGTACAACAGCCAATCATCGGTTTTGACGACACAAGTCTAACCAAAGTTGGAGTATAAAAGCCCTCTTGGAAAATATATGATTCACCATTGTGGCAAGTTGTTTCTCGGATTATACTTGCCTTTAGGGATCTATCTAGTACTGAGAGAAAAAAAAATAAGAAAGCAAGGAAGGGAAAAGGCTGCACTGAATGTGAGATCATGCAAAAGCTACAAATCTGTGTTTATATTTACCTGTTCATGCTGATTATACTTGGTCCAGTGGCTCTTAATGACAGTAGTCAGCCAAAAGAGAATGGAGAAAAAGATGAACTATGCATTGCATGTACATGGAGGCAAAATACGAAATCTTCCAGAATAGAAGCCATAAAAATTCAAATCCTCAGCAAACTTCGTCTGGAACAAGCTCCTAATATTAGCAGGGATACTATAAAACAGCTTTTACCCAAAGCTCCTCCATTGCAAGAACTGATTGATCAGTATGACGTCCAGAGAGATGACAGCAGTGATGGTTCTTTGGAAGATGATGATTATCATGCTACAACTGAGACTATTATTACAATGCCTACAGAGTGTAAGTAGTCCTGCTACTTTAATATCACACTATTCTACTGATAAACAGTTGTCCTAGTGCTTAAGAGCAACAAATCTTGTCTCAGTCTCTTCTAACAGGCTGCTAGCAGAAGTATGTAAGAGGGAGGGAGAAGAGCATATTTTTAAATAATTTGAATCATCATCCAATGACCTCACTGTGATCTTTTATTTTATTGTACTATTTTCCTGCTCCCTTATAACATATACAGTAATAGTCCGTAGAATCTTGCCAATTGCCTAATATACTAAATAAGATTTGGAGTTTGCTGACCTCGGTATTTGCAGTATTCAAGGTATTTTCTACAGTAAATTTAGGCAAGTACAAAGAAATCAGTGCAAATAATTAGGTAATTATAACTCTTAGCAAGGATTTTATGGGCCACCACTTTTTAAACATTGCACTAGAAACTGACAAAAAATGTCATTTAGAACATTACAACCACTTAACTATAATACACTGTAACAAATGCAAATAAAGGTTTAAATATTTGTTTCCTCTGCTGATCTCAGAAGCTAGCACCCCCCCGCCCAGCTAACAGTAAACAGTGAAAGTAAACTATATATTTAAAGTAAGCAGAAGAATGATGGACATTTCAACATCTAAAATCTATGTATATCTATCAACTCCAGTAGTTGTGTCAGGGAAGAATGAAGGCATTTACTGAATGAGCAGATTCTTAGTTATCTTCTGAGTGCTAAACATCTGCCATGACTCCTATCAAGTATCTTTTGCACAGCTAATACTATAGTATCTTATGTTCTTAATCAGCTAAAGTATTTGGCTATGGCAGCTGCTTTTCAAAATAACACTTATGAATATGATGACAAAAGTTGAAAAGAAGACAGGGCATATAAGGCGTAGATATATTACCAGCAACAGAGATATATAGTACACACACCTAACAGAATATCAGCTGCTGTTGCTAACTACAACATGTACACATTTATAGAAGTTAATTGACTATAAAATATATAGGTTAAATTAACAGTATAGGATACTTTATAGCAATACTGAATGTATTACAGTAGCTTGATCATGATGATGTAGGTAAAGGCCAACTAACCAATGTTTATAATTGAGCCTACTATTACCTAATTCTTCTTTGCTGATTGACGAAAGGTGATCTATGCTCTGTTTATTTGTCACTTCACAATTCACTCCACTCTTCATAGACAGCCTTAAAAAAAAAAAATCACCATTTTTAGTGTATTAGAAAAGCAGATATCTGAAGAGATGAGGTTATGAATATTGGCGCTCTGCACCATGCGAGATTATTACTTTGCCCTCCTATCCCTTAACATGGACAGTTTTATCTGGGTCTAATAGATTTTGCACCTATAGTGTATACCGAGGGTAGTTAGATTACTACAATGAAAACACTTTACCGTAATATAATTCAAACCAAAAGAAATAAAGATCCCTAGATTAAAACTAGTTTAACAACAGATAGTTTGATCATAAAACAAAGGAGGGGAATGTAGGTGTTACTGTAGCTTGAACACAGCTGCCTCTTTTTATATAATATTCTGGCACAAATGATAAAGTTTGATAAATTAGAAACATCTATAACATCACAGAAGTGTCTAGTTAAAAAGTACAGGTTTGCTGTTCAATGTGTGTTTGTAAAGATACTGCAGGAGTTGAATGCCAGAAAGGTGTTAATAGTTAGTCATTCTTAAGCAGAGTAGCCTGTACGCTGTGTTCAGTCCGCAGGTAATTTTTGGCTGAAGGAAGTGTTCCTGTCCCAGACTGACTGGTACAGCTGCTCAGTTAGTATAAGGATTCAGATTCCCAGAGAATTCTAAGGAAATGTTCCCCTGCAGCCTTTTTCTATCTCAATATTCCCCATCATTTTTTAATTTCAGCATGTGCTCACCCCTTAGCTAAAGAAATCAAAGTAAACAGCTTACATAGCATAAAGATCCTACTAGATTTAGTTGGAAAATGGTAAATCTAGCTTAAAACGGTTGTTCAGAAAATGACCATCAATTCCTTGTGATAATATGCAGTAGAACCTCAGAGTTATGAACACCTCGGGAATGGAAGTTGTTTGTAACGCTGACAAAACGTTATGGTGGTTCTTTCAAAAGTTTACAACTGAACACTGTCTTAATACAGCTTTGAAACTTTACTATGCAGAAGAAAAATGCTGCTTTAAACCATCTTAATTTAAATGAAACAAGCATGGAAACAGTTTCCTTACCTTGTCAAATCTTTTTTTTAAACTATCCCTTTATTTTTTTAGTAGTTTACATTTAACACAGTACTATACTATATTTGCTTTTTTGTGGTCTCCGTTGCCTGATTGTATACTTCCAGTTCCAAATGAGGTGTGTAGTTGACCAGTCAGTTCATAACTCTGGTATTCTTAACTCTGAGGTTTTACTGTATTACTTCTAGATGGCTTAAAAATTTGAGGCACAATGAGTCTGTTAATTTCAGTTAAATAATGCCATACAGTACAAAACCCACAAAATCCAGAGTCCAGAGTTTATTTTATAATGAATTAAGTTACATGCCACTTTGCAACCAATATTCCAGTGATAAGATATCTTGCCAAGATATACTATGCAGGTTGGATATTTTTTCTGATTTGTTTATGCACATTCCTTTCTGCGCCTAGGTCAGTAATCTATTCTTTCCATTCATTTATAGCTGATTTTCTTGTGCAAATGGAGGGGAAACCAAAATGCTGCTTCTTTAAGTTTAGCTCTAAAATACAATATAATAAAGTAGTAAAGGCCCAGTTGTGGATTTACTTGAGGCAAGTCCAGAAACCTACAACAGTATTCGTGCAGATCCTGAGACTCATCAGACCCATGAAAGACGGTACAAGATATACTGGAATTCGATCTTTGAAACTTGACATGAACCCAGGCACTGGTATTTGGCAGAGTATTGATGTAAAGACAGTGTTACAAAATTGGCTCAAACAACCCGAATCCAACTTAGGCATTGAAATCAAAGCTTTTGATGAGAATGGACGAGATCTTGCTGTAACTTTCCCAGGACCAGGTGAAGATGGACTGGTAAGTTCTACTGGAAAAATCCCACAGAGACTTTTCTTATTTTATAGACCTGTTTACAAAAGTTGGAATTGGAAAGCATGTTTTATGTTATATTGAGAGGAATTGGAAGCATTGCCTAGGGGTTAAAATATAGGAGTGGGGGTTAAGAGAAGGGTTCTGTATGCCCAGTTCTGCAACAAACTTGCTCTCTGACCTTGCGCAAATCACTTAATCTCCCTGTGCCTCAGTTTTCCCATCTGTAAAATGGAGGTAATACTACTTTACCTAACTCAAAGGGATACTGGGAGACTTCATTACCTTGTTTGTAAAGGGCTTTGATATTCAATGGAAGGTACTAGAAAAGGGCAAAATATTTGTTATCAAATCCAGGAGTAAAGAAAAGAAAAGATATTAAAATGCTGCTTAATGAAAAGTTATTTTTAACATATAGTAAAAAATGAGGGCTCCTGGGTTCCTGCACTTGAGAATAAGGTGCCTCAAATCTTGTACTGCTGACCAAGTTCTTGCATTCAAAATAAAAGGGAGCTTCTTCTCTCTCCGAATACATGTATTTGCTGTTAACTATAATGGGAATTATGCATGCACAGAAAGGAGACAAAAGACCACCTCACTATGAGTCTTGAATTAAGGATATCTTTATGTAATGATGGAACATATCATGCCATCAATTTTTAAGTGTTTGAGTAAGTCAAGAGATTCTGCTTAAACATCAATGGCACAATTTGCTTTATGTTTATGACAAAGTACAAGGCTAATTGACAATACTGTATTTGATTATACAACTCACTCTTCTAAAATTACAGTTCTGAATATGTAGTACTTTTTATGCCATATTATTTTCAAAATTACGTCAAAGCAGTCAAGAACCCAAAATAGGCATCTTTTTTCTTTTTGTTGGAAATCTAAATAAACAAAATAAATTTGAAAGTGTTGCAGTTAAACAAAAATGGTAAAGCATTTCCTTCATTGTTAACAATCTTTGAAAAGCAATAATTGCCTACAATCTGCTCAAGTATATTTCTGAACCTATTATCTACACCAATAAAGCAATACTTATCACTAGAACCCTATCAAATTCACAGGTGTGAAAAATGTGTCATAGACCTTGAAATCTGGTCTCCCCTGACAAATTTGGCTATTGTAGGGGGCTCGTGGTATTGCCACTCTTACTTCTGCACTTCCTTCAGAGCTGGGTGACCAGAGAGCAGTGGCTATTGGTCAGACGCACAGCTCTGAAGACAGCACTGTCACAAGCTCCGCAGAAGGGAGGGTGGCATGGTATGGTACTATCACCCTTCCGCACTGCCACCAGCAGCAGCGGAGAAGTAAGGGTGGCAATACCACACCATGCCACCCTCCTTTCTGTGCTGTTGCAGTGGTGGCACTGCTTTCAGAGCTGGGTTCTCAGCCAGCAGCCACCGCTTTCCAGCCACCCAGCTGTGAAGCCAGCACAGAAGTGAGGGTGGTACTACTGCGACCCCCCACAATAGCCTTGCAATCCCCTTTTGGGTTGTGATCCCCAGTTTGAGAAGGGCTTTACATGTTTATATTTTTAAATACATAATCATGATTTGTGACAACACAGTGAAATTCAAGATTTAAATACCCGTAAGCATGAAATTCAAGATTTTTTAAACGGCATGACCATGAAATTTACCAAAATGAACCGTGAATTTGGTAGAATCCTACTTATCAGTAAATTTATAACTTTTAAACAAAATCCTGTAAGAATATTATTTCCCTCTTTCACTATAATGCATAATGTGCTTGGATAAATCTAAATACTTATACATTTGATTTTTATATATTTTCTTAGCAATGTAATACAGTCATATTAGTTTAAAGAAAAAATGTATTGTGAAAGTTTGATTAAAAATCCAACAGAAAAAAATTCTCATATTCCTACTCAGTTGGAATAGGCCAGTTGTCTCCTCTAGTGCTTCAAACACAATCATGCATACAAATATCAAGTACTGACTGTATCAAGAATGCATGAAATCATCCCCTTCTGCAGAAAGTCACAGAGGTGGAAAAAAAGGTCTCAGTTTCTTTCCACTCATGATTATGTTGCAATCATCTTCTTTCCTCAGCAGAGGGGTTTGATCTGCATGCCTGGGATAAGAGAGGTGGTCTTGATAACTATGGAGTCCAAGGGTCTGCATGGAATTCCTTTCCCAAAAGTGTGGATCATGGGTCATCCACACATGTGCTGGCCCTCTGTGCCACTCTGAGCTTCCTTGGCTGTATGACTCTCTCAGGAGCTTCTCTTGCAAAACCTGTGCATAGTTTCAGCCCCTCTGAGAGAGGTGAAAGGTATGGAGTAGAAATACAGGAGTAGGATTGCTAGAAGCAGTATTCGTTTCCCCCCACCACTTCCAATAGTATTTTCACCAGTTAGGCAGGGTAGCATCAACTCCTTCAACTTCTTCCCTCCTCTGGCTAAATAGGAGGCCCTTCTCAATGCCTGCTGAGCCTCAGCTGCACACTTTATGTGCAGGGACATCTGCAAATTCTTCAGGAAGGGGGAGACCAGAATGTTAGCCTACATGTTTTCCCTTCTGCAATTTTTGGAGCTCCTTTTTTGTGTGTGCATGCATGCTCTTTTGCATTCTTCTATGTCATGTAGATGGAGGGAGCTTTTGGCCCAAAGTCCATAACACTCATCAAAGTCCCTCCTATCAGCTATTTGGGATGATAATGTTGATTTCAGAAAAAGATGCTCAGGAATGGTAGCTACTGAATAGTGGGGAAATCCTGTTTCTTAGTATGAAAAAGAAGGATAAACCTTGAAAGTGGATGAAGTGTACCCAGGGACACCTAGAAGAGGACATACCTTAAAAGAAAACAACACACCACTGTCACAGGATCAGAGCATTCCAGAAACTTTTACAAATATTATTTGAAAATATTAGTTTAAAACAATCTGCATGTCTGAGACGTTGCGTATTTTTCATGTCTCAATTTGTCCCCATAAATGTTAAATTCTTCATGTATTAATAATATTTCCAATTGTTTTCCTTTCCCCACACAGAATCCATTTTTAGAGGTCAGGGTTACAGACACACCAAAAAGATCCCGTAGGGATTTTGGCCTTGACTGTGATGAACACTCAACAGAATCCCGGTGCTGTCGCTACCCACTGACTGTGGATTTTGAAGCTTTTGGATGGGACTGGATTATTGCGCCCAAGAGATACAAAGCCAATTACTGCTCTGGAGAATGTGAATTTGTATTTTTACAGAAATATCCACACACTCATCTTGTCCACCAGGCAAACCCTAGGGGTTCAGCAGGCCCCTGCTGCACACCTACCAAGATGTCGCCAATAAACATGCTGTATTTCAATGGAAAAGAACAAATAATATATGGAAAGATACCAGCCATGGTAGTAGATCGTTGTGGGTGCTCATGAGCTCTTTGCTAGATCCATTACTTCATAAAACATGGAATCTACCAAAAAAAGTTCTGTCCCCTCTGCAGTTTTGCAAACTGAATTTATGTACGATAGGCTATCGCCTACATCCAACAGGGTACTGTGTGGTAAATATTCAGTACAACACAAGCTACAGAATGTGAACTAAAAGACAATATATGCAATGGCTGGTTTTTAAACCAGTGAAAAAGATAAGCTACAATCAAAATCACCGGATTTCTCAATGAATTTCTTATACTATAAGGGAATCAGTTTTCAGTTATTCAGATACCAAAATCATATACAGGTTTCAACATATACAAGTAGACAAAAGCAACCTCCTTGTCCTCCAGAGAACGAATTTCATCACAGCTTCATTTAGTATTGTATTTAAAAAATATATACTGGTACATTTAGGATTGTCACAATACCACCATCTGAATTGTCCTTAAACACTTGAATTTTTAGTGCAGAAACACAAAATTGATAAGATGAAATTCCACAAAAACAGATAAATTCAGAAATTTGGGATGGCATAGTGTATGCATAATGTTTCCATTCCTTTTATGATTAGTCTGTTAGTAATCAATATCAATGGTGCTATCACAGTAGGCTGAATAAAAATAAAAGCAGTTATCAAGCTGAAAGAACACAGTACAATAATGAATTCCCCCTCTCCTCAGGTACAGTAATATTCCACATTCATATGAAATAGGTATTTTTTAAATTTAAAGGTGAATCATTTTCTTGACCTAGTGATATCCTCAGAGAGAATGCACTGCAGTAAGACAAAAGGCAGTGGAGGAAAAAAAAATAAAATATGAATATCATAATCCCAAATTATAACCTGCCTTTGCAACATTACAGTTTGCACTTTGGTAAACCAATGCAAATAATTGGTTGCTACAAATATTGTAAAAATATATACATAGACTTTGATATAATAGAATTTGTGTAATATGTATACATCATTATTTTGTAAATAAATGTTTCTTTTTTAATTTACTGTCGGTATATGTTTATGGTAAGAAAGATTCAAATTAAGCTGTACTTTAGTATATACAAATACATATTTGAGCAATAAAAGCAATTTTGGATATCAATGCAAATAAATAGTAGATAAAATAATGGACATAGCAACAAAGTAATCCATAGGATGGTTATGCTAATTTTTTTATATTGTGCGTAAATGATGGGTGTTTACACAGTTTTTATGGGTTACTGTTTTCATTTTGATCAACCACTGATTTTCCATACTTTTAATGTTGTACCCATTTAGGATGATAGTACCAAAACCTCCTATTTCATTAAAAGCATTTTTCATAAATGTACAAAAATTTACAACAAAACATTACCTTTATTTTATAAATGATATAGCAAACTGATTTCCACGCATTACTGTTTATTTTGCTACCATAATCAAAATTAGAAAGCTACCTATTTTCTAGAAAGTGAATTTAGTTTCAAATGTGAAAAATGAATAATACAGGCATTGTTAAAACAACATAATTTCTGTTAAAATATTTTCATTTTTTGTATGATGCAAAAGGTTGCACGTTTTATTCGTTATTCTGGCTTTCAACTTACATTTTTCTGTGTGAAATTACAGTAAAATATCAAGTTGTTTGTCTTCTTTTTCCCTTCCCCTTTACATTTATATTTCTGTAAAAGTCTAGGTAAATGTTTTGTATCACTATTTTCTATTTAAGGAAAGAATTTAAAGTTTGTTTACTAAGATTTAGGACTTGAAATACCTATCTTCTAGTGCTACTGAATGAAATTCATTATTGAACTACTGGGCATATTACTAAAATTGTTGCCACAGATATGCATCTCTGTTCAGTTTCTGTCTATCTTAATGACTGTGTTAGAATCCTAGGGCTTTAATTTTATCTTCAAATTAGTTTACCAAAATTGCAGAGACTACTACACAACTTTAAAAGTGTCTATGTTTTTAGAATCTGAAGTATTGCTGAAAGCAGGCAGAAAACTACAAATTAACTGTGAAATGCTAGACTCATTGATGTCAATGGCAAAACTCCCATTGATTTCAGTGGGGCCAGGATTTCACCCTCAGGCTTCAATCCTGTAAACACAAAGTACATGCAACTTTACCCATGTGAATAATCCCATTGAGATCCATGGGACTACTCATAATGTGTGTTTGCATTAAATGATATGAAAAGACATTTGAACTATTCGAGCCAGATCTTTAATTTGATGGCAGTTTTGCTACAAACATCAGTGAGAATAGCATCAAGCCTTTAAAAAAAAAAAAAAAAAAAACCAACCCCCCCCCCCGAAAATTCATATTATGAGTTTTCCTCTTAATATGCATGTCTCAGAACCCCTACAAATGTCTACTCTAGCTGGTCCTGTGCCTTGAAATTCAGCTAACTTTATTAGACTGAAATTACATACACCTGGTATAGTTCATTTTTGCCAAACATGACCAAGAACACATTATTATAAGGCAGTACTGATTTGCATATTGTTTATACAATGACCTTATGTAAGTGGCAACATTTGGAACGTGCACTGTGTATATCTTGTAGAGTCCTTTAGTGCTTGTCAATCCCCCAGTGCGACAGTGAGCTTTTCCAAATTTTCCAGTACACTGTAGAACAACATAAATCTACAATCACACACAAAAACTACATTAAAAGAACATTATTAGGGTTGGAAAGTCAAGCACTCAAAAATTAGGAAATGCCAGAATTAACCTTAAATCGACCCCCATGTGAGTATGCATTGTTAGTCTTTAATTACATGTTCATATGCTGATTTTTCCACAGGATGCCTGCTTCATTCAGTGCACAGAATGGACAGTGCTCACTTAATGATCAGCTATTCCATATTTTGTTTTCTCCTTGTTGTTCAAAGTGTGGCCCCAGAGTCTATTTACTGCACTATTCAAACCCTACTCAAGACAGAATTATTAATTTCCTCATGCTTTTCTATGGCACCCATTACTATATCATCTGAATACGTCACAAATATTAATGACTTTATTTTCACAACAGCCTTGTGAGGTGAGGAAGGTGGAAATATCCCCTTTCTACAGCTAGGGAAATGAGGAGCAGAGAAATGGAGGACAAAAGTATCCACCTACTTTTGGGTGACCAATTTGAGACACCTATGACCTGATTTTTCAGAGTACTTAGCATTAGAGAACACTTTATATGTTCAAAACACAGCTCCCATGGGTTTCCACTGCAGAGGTAAATGCTCAACACTTTTGCGAATCATACCAAACAATGAGGAGCGCACAATTTTTGGTTTTGGTTTCAGTGACTTGTCCAGCATCACACAGAAACTCTGTGGAAGAGACAGCAGTAGAATCCAATCATCCAGGGCAGGATTCAGCCGACTTAATTCTGAGACCATCCTTTCTCCTTCAGCAATGTCCTGCCTTCTTCACTATACAGGAGCGACTTCCTGTTCCTGCTGCTGCTGGAGGAGGAAGAGCCTGCTGCTGGTGTTGCAGCTGCCTAGCTATTACCGCTGGGGATGGAAGGAGGGGAGCGGAATGGAGCCCTTCCTCCACCCCACCATTCCCCTACCAGTCCTGATTGCCACCTGATTGCCTGCCTCTACCCACCTTGGCGCTGCAATGGTATCATTGCCTTCAATGCAATCCCTCCCCCCTCAATTTGCATTGGGCTGGTGGGCCTCCTTCTTCTCCTTCTGCTTGCCGCCAGCTCCCCTCCCGCCCCCCCAGCACACACCTTGTAGTTCACTGCCCTGTCTTGCATGGTCCCCCTTGTAATATCCTCTCTGCCTCCGCATCTACTGCCAACACCTCTCCTGGTGTCAACAGCATCCCCACCAGGGCAGTGGCAAAAAGCACAAGCAGGGAGTCCATCGCCAGAACTATCACCACCACCAATAGGACCCTCTCAGTCAGCAAGATGAGCCCTAGCAAGAAAAAGAGCAAAAGTCCACCCTGGAAGGCTCCTTCCATGGCAGCAGCTGCTTCTAGTACAGCCCTATCAATGGCCCTGGCTCCCCCTTCATCTACCATCCCTTTCACCAGCTCTGGGGGCATCTGCCTTTCAGTCCACAGAGCAAACGCCCAGGTAGCCACAGCCCCCCATTCTCCCCAGACCTACAGCTTGAGGTATTGGGAGTTGCCAAGGTTCTGCGGGTCACCTGCTGCACCTCTGGGTCCACATGAAGGGGCTGATCCTCTATCTTGTCAACATCTATGCTCCAAGAACTGGGCCCAGGGTGCATGCAATTCTATCAGCGGGCGTCTGCTTGGCACCTTGGATCCCTGTGAGTGCCTGGACCTAGGAGGGGATTTTAACACTTCCTTGGCTGTATGGGACTGCCTCAGAATAGAGAATGCCAGGCTGTCGCAGACATCTTCAGGGATTGTCAGATGTCCACGAGAGAGGTTGACGTGACCACCACCTGGACCTCTCCACCACCTTCACTTATGTTTAGGTGGAGGACACTTGATTGTACCACTCCTGGTTAGACAACACTTACATGTCTCAATTTCACACATTGCATGCCCACTCCTCCACCATCAGGCCTGCCCCCTTCTCAGACCATCATCTTGTGGTGAAAACTGCCTTTTTGACACCTGAGCTGCTGTAAAAGTGTGTCACGTTGCAGCCCCTCTTCCAGAACATCTTACTGAAATTCTGGCTGCACTTTACCCCCACACCTCCTGATTCTTGTACACCCCATCCGTTCCCCCACAGAATTGCAGGACCTCCATGTCATCCTCCTCCTGGCACTGGCCAAAATGACCACCCATCACTCCAGGAGAAGAAAATTGGATGGGAGGCTACTCTGTGACTCTGAGGCCCATTTCCGGTCCCTTGTCAACTCACGTTTCTGGGCAGAGTTCCTCTGGGCAGCATTTACTTACTCCCTGGACGCCTCGGAGAAGCTCTGGGTGCTGTCCTGGGTTCTCTGCTTGGGGTCCCCTTCTGGTTCCCTGATTTTCAAATCTTTAACCTCACTCTAGATCCTGTTTTCTCCTCTGTTATCTGCAGCAATCAATTGTATCCTGGACTTAGTGGGTCCTCATCCTTAATTGAAGGACAAGGTCTTTAAGATATGGGTGGGCCTAGATCTGCCTGTCCTAGTACTATAAATAGT